TATATAAGCAATATAAAGAAAGATATTGTTGAAGAGATTTTTAAACCGGCGCGAAAAAATTTTCCACGAAGACGAACAATAATCAAGGGAATCGATGATTTATGGCAAATAGATTTGGCTGAAATGCAAAATTACGCACGCGAAAACAATGGTTACAAGTATATTTTAGTAATTATTGACTGTTTTTCAAAGTATTTATGGACTAGACCACTAAAGTCAAAAAGTGGTGATAATGTAGCTAAATTGGTTGAAGATGTTTTATTGCAAGACGGAAGAATACCTCAAAATATTCAAACTGACCAAGGAAAAGAATTCTACAATATAAAGTTTAAATCTTTAATGAAAAAATATAAAATTAATCATTATAGMACCTATAGCGTCAAAKAGGCAGCAATTGCCGAACGTGTGATTAGAARTTTAAAATCAAGATTATATAAAGAATTTACTTTACACGCTTCTTACAAATGGGTAAATAAATTAGATAGGGTTACATCCGATTATAATACTACTCGTCATCGCACTACCGGAAAAAAACCAGTTGAAATTAATAAGTTCAATGAGTCAGAGGTTCAAGCTTACAATCAACTGAAAATTGTAGCCCCACATAAATATAATAAAGGCGATTTGGTACGAATAAGCAAAATGAAATATTTATTTGAGAAAGGATATACACCCAACTGGACTACAGAAATATTTAGGATTCTTAAGGTTAAATTAACAAATCCTAGAACTTATCTACTTGAAGATTTACAAGGTCAGCCAATTAAGGGATGTTTCTATGAACAAGAACTTCAAAAAAGTAAACACCCTGATACATATTTAGTTGAAAAGGTTATACGTCGTAAAGGAAATAAATTATTTGTTAAATGGCTTGGTTTTCCAACCAATCACAATAATTGGATTGAATTGAAAGATATTACAAAGTAAAGGAAAAATAGAAAAAATCATTAATAATTCATTCATTAGGACCAGTTTGATGGACCCTCTTCATCAATAAATAATTGTGTTTCGTGTCTATTAGATGGTATTAATAAACCATTGAATGTTGTGGATATGTATATTCCCAGTAAACACATGGATGTTATTTCGACGTCGATTTAACGTCTCAATGGTAGAAACAACGTAACTAGTCGAACTATTGACCAAAGATAATGTCGTCGATTAAGTGACGTCACTATTTTTATGTCACTAAAACGTCGATACAAACCAAGTGACAGTTTTTCAACCTGATTTCTTTATAAATAAGAAAAACGTTTACTTTCCACGTTGTTATAACGTCTTTTATATACGAAAAATGTATCCATCATAACAAAACATCAAAATTTGTCAAAAACCGTTGTTTGAAAGCTTATACGTTAAAGATATAAATAAATATTTAGAATGAGAGCCAGTATTTTTAATACCTAATTAAGCATAATAATAACGGGTTTTCTTTTAAATCTGGAGTCGAAGTTGGCTGTGACTCGGTGTTGATTGCAAACCCACAACAATGGTTGAACATGTTATCAGTAGCAATACATCTCCATATACCGGGTGTCCCAGGCAGGCTTGGATATAGGAAATTAACAGGGGAAATTAGTTTTTATTTTTTTTCCGGCTGCAGGAGTAACAGAAATCAAAATCTGATTGATGGAACTTGTAGTGCTCGAAAAGGTCTATGTTATCGACATTTTACTCGATTCTCCAATTAACTCCATTTGGGAGAAAACCGGCTTCAAAAAATCGAAATTGAAATTTGCCGGGTTAGCACTATATTAAAATATGATTATTAAAAAACAAAAAAAAAGAAAGCATCCCTGTTTTGTTTTAAACTTCAAATGTTATTGGATTAATTGGGTATTCAAAATTGGAGCGCTTTATTCGGCGCCGATCGTSTCGTGTCGTGAGCCATGAATTTGTTCGTATTTTTTTTTGTCTAAAACAAACGCCTAACGCATGAGTTTGTTGCTTTATTGTGTTGTACAGCTGGATTTCAGTTTTTAACTCAGGTAAGTTATTTGTTTGCTTATATATAATATATAAAAGAGATTTTTGAGCTTGTGAAATCATTTTAAGAAAGATAATTACAATTTTACGGTAGGAAAAACGTACCTAACCTCTGCTGTTGAACACGTGCAGTCAATGAGCTGTTTTCTTCCAAAATTCATTAAAAGGAGAGTTGTCAATGTTATAATTATTTATAATATACATATTATAATGTAAATTAATCTAAATCATACAAGAAATTGTTATCATTTATCTTGAAACAAACATTAGTCGTCGATTTTAAGTCATGTTATTCCCCTGTTTTTGACCTACTCACCGTGTACTAATATTTAAAATTTGCAATGACGTTATAAGTAAGAGTGGTTGCAGATTGGTTATTTTGAATAATTTTTAAAGGCAAATTACTTATTGACACATTATTGACGTTGTGCAGTTACGGAATTAAAATTTCGGGCAGTATTTTTTTGTCACTTCAAAAAGTTCACTGTAAACTACCTTTTACTGTCATCATGACATTTATGACTGACATTTGACAAATAAACTTTTCTGATAGTGACGCTATTTTTAGGTCAAAATGTTATTAATGTAAAAGTTTTAGAGTTTACATTATGAAAATGACAAAACTGCCCGAAATTTTAATTCCGCAACTGTACATGATGGAAGAAGAGACTTTTTAAATTGTGACAATATTACAAAAATTAAAAAAAGATATTTTTTGGTCGCGACTGATGTTTGTATAAGATACTTATGTTAACATATGTATGTTTAAAGTTTTAAATACCTAATTTATTTATTTATGCCTTTCATTTGCAGAAAATTTCGGTCATACAAGATATTAATAGGTAAAAAGGTAGTTACATATTTTGATGCAATATTATTGAAAATGCATAAGCAGCGTATTGTTAGCAAACGTCAACTTCAAAGGCGCACAAAAGAAAATCTAAAAAAATTAACAGATTTAAGCAGACAGCAAATTGTTAAAAAAAACCTAATTATTGGTTCTAATATAAATCATAATGAAGCAAGTATAAAATTTTCATCTGACTTCGTAAGCTTATCAAATAATGATGAGTGTAAAACGAATAATAACCCTTCAATTAATTTCTCAAATGAACTAAAAAATAATCTTAGAGAATGGGCTGTTACGCATAATGTTACATCTAATTCACTTACACACTTATTAAAACTACTACATCCAGTAGTTAGTTTGTTACCATTAGATTGTCGTACATTAATGGCTACTCCGCGAAACACAGAAACAAAAAAACTGACAAATGGGGAAATGATTTACTGTGGAATTCAGCAAAAAATGTTGTCTCAAATGAGAGGCGGTTTTAAATTAAAAAATAATATTGTTCACTTACAAATAAATATTGATGGTCTACCCATTTTTAAAAGTAGTTCAATTGAAGTATACCCTATATTGGCATTGTGTAAGGATTTTGAAATGAAAACTCCTTTTGCAGTTGCAATTTTTGTAGGCACAGGAAAACCTGAACCTCTCCAAGTTTTTCTTGAAGATTTTATAAACGAAGTAACGCGTTTGAAAAGAGAAGGATTTACTTTTAACCAGAACAAATTTTGTTTCGATATATCTTGTTTTATATGTGATGCACCTATAAGATCTTATTTAAAACAAACAATGGGGCATACCAGCAAATATGCATGTGAAAAATGTAAAATTGTCGGCAAATATGAAAATCACAGAGTTAATTTTACACAAAACAAATTGGAGTATTATCCACAGCGACTTGATAATGATTTTGTAAATGTAACAAATGACAGTCATATCAAAGGTTTTTCACCTTTAAAAGATATACAAATAAAAATGATATCACAAATACCACTCGACCCAATGCATTTAATATTTTTAGGTGCCGTTAAACGTTTGTTGTCAGACTACATTGTGAGTGGAACTGTACCCTACAAACTACCACAAAAAACTTTACAAGAACTTAATATTCGGACTTTTGGGTTAAAAGAATATGTAACGTCAGATTTTGTTAGAAAACCTAGATCTTTAAAAGAAATCAAACGTTGGAAAGCAACGGAGTTTCGTTTATTCATTTTGTACACTGGGCCCGTTTTGCTTCATAGTATTTTAAACAAAGAAAATTATGTTCACTTTTTAAATTTACACTGTGCTGTTTTTATATTATCTAACTCTTCTTTAATAAAAACATACTTAGATACGGCGAAAAAATGCCTGGAAACCTTTGTTATAAATGCTCCAAAATTTTATGGAAAGGACTTCGTTGTATATAATATTCATAGTCTACTTCACATCTGCGACGATGTAAAGTTGCATGGTAATATAAATGAATTTAGTGCTTTTCCTTTTGAATCGTATCTCGGTGCGCTTAAAAGAAAGATCAGGGGCAAAAAAAATGTGTTGGAGCAAATCCATAGAAGAATTGAGGAATATGATTCTATGCATCATATTAATCATAAGAATGTAAAAAATAATAATGAAATTCCGACAGCAAAGAACATTTTTTTAGAACAGTACAATACAAACAACATATTAGTGTCATATAACTGCACCAAATTATTGTTTAGACAGTATTTTATATCTTTGAATAAACAAGACAACTGTGTTCTTTTAAAAAACAGTAAAATATGCCTCATCAGAGCAATTTATTTTTATGAAAATGAATTTAATATAGAGGGAGTAACCTATCAATATCAGTACGACCTTTATTTAAAACCATTCCCATCATCAAAATTCAATATTTATTACATTAAAAAGATTTATCACAAAAATTGTGTAACATTCAAATTAAAAGACATTATGTGTAAATGTTTAAGGCTACCCCATAAGGAAGGTTTTGCAGTATATCCTCTAACGCATTTGTTATAAAATTTTAATGAATATTATTGTATATGATGTAAATATTACTATGAAATTATGTAAACTATTCAGCATTTTAATAAACTATTGCATTAAACTGTTTTTAATATAAATTTAATATAAATTTAATAACTTTTAAAGAACCTTGTATGACTGAACGAGGATGTTTGCTGTCATCGAATTCATATCTAACGAAATTGCGGTTGTTCCGCTGAAATGGGTTTACAAACGCGAAACTAAATGTCGTTGGCCGTTGACCACTGGAAAAAAGACATTCAACGATTTTGTCAAATGCAAACCACCTTCAAAAAGTTCCTGGCCAAGTTATAAAATAATAAAAATCCACTGCAAAATTGGTAAAGTTATACAAATGTATTAAATACTTCTTTCATTGACAGCTTTTGCAGATAATTTTGATAAAGCAGAACAGGAGTTAACAGAATTGTTAAAAGATTGTCAAGCTGAAGCGGAAGAAACTGGTTCAAGTTCAAGAAGCTTAACCAGAAAAAGTAATCCTCATTATCTAAGTGATGAGTCTTCAGAAGACGATTCAATATCTAGTTTCGAAGATACACAGGATACACATTTTTTGAATGTTTCAACAGGAAGTGCAGGAAATGCACAAGGAAGTAATATTACAACCGTAGAAATGTCTGCTAGCTCTTCAACGTTGGGTATTTCAAAGGCTGCTTCTACCTACTCAGGTTAGTTATTTGTTTTTTTATTGTCTTAATATACTCTTTTTGTAAATGCTTTAACAGGAGGAGTTTCAACTTTAAATCAAACTACTGCCTTGGAAGCGTCAACTAGTTCTTCAACCTGTTGTCTAAACGCTTCAACTATTTTTCCAGGTTAGTTATTTATATTGCATTCACTTGCTGTTACTGATAAGTATACATTTTTTACTGTGCTTTAAATATCTTAACAGGAGTGTCATCTTCAAGTAAGACTCTAACTGTGGAAGCGTCAAATAGCTCCTCATCAACACTCGGAATTTCAGAGGCTTCAACTGTTACAATCTATTCAGGTTAGTTCTTTGCGTTTTTATTTTTCAATGCATTTTTATTCCTTTTGCAGAGAACTTTGAAAGTACTGTACTTAGTACTCTATCTAAGATTGTGTCCAATGTAGATCAGCATTCTATCATTCTTAATGAGATTTATCGGAAATGTACTACATCAGAAAACTCTATAACACAACCCGAGGACATTCCTAGCTTACCTTTAAAGGATTTAGAGGATTTCGCCGCTTTTGAAGATAAATTAAAAAGTCCGGCCCTGTATCAATATATGGTAGATCAGATTAACAATTATTTATTTTGAAAATTTAAACTTATTGTTTTTAGGTGCTGAGATTAGCTGCTGTAGGGGGTTCTGGTATTGAGTCACAATGCAGACGTATAATGCAGTATCTCATGACAAATAGTCTTGCCATGAAATTTAATTGGAAAGGAAAAGAAAAAATAGCATTTCAAAAAACCAAAACAATGACGTTAATATATGGTAAGCGACTTTTGTCAGACAATTATTTTTACTGAAGTTATTTACACATAAAGGCTAGTAGCGTACTTTCAAATTCCTATCGTTGCTCCGTCTTATCGTTTTCGGAATTTCTTATGTTATTAAAGTACGAAAATACAATATATAATTTTGTTTCAGAGTCAGCAAAACGAACTTTCCCAGAGAAGGAGAAAAGTGATTATCTAATAGAGAAAACGATCAAAGAGTGGTTAAAATATTCGAAACAACGACTCAAGTCTAAAAAAATACAAACGACGGAATAGGTCAGTCAAATAACGTCTTTGACTGGCCTAGAATTGTTGTTTACTGAAATTTTTGTCTTATTTTTAATTTACATTTTTGAGGGCATGTTTAATTGTTTTATGTTTTATATGAATTTTTTAGAGTATGTATCTTGTGTTTAATTTTTTATATATTATCTTTTTATATTTTTATATAAATTTTTTATTGCAATATGAGTTTTATTTTAACGTTTTTTTTACGTCCTGGGAGTCAAAAATACGACGATTAAGTTACGTCAAAAAAGTACGTGAAGTTCACGTCGCCTGCCAACGGCATATGGACGTTTTATATAGACGTGGTATCGACCATCGACGTCAAAATTTACGTCGATTCGAGCGACATTGTGACGTTTTTTCAACATGGATTCTGAATAAATTTTAATACGTATTTTCAACGTCATTGTGTTTACTGGGTTGCCTTCGATCAGGATGATGTTGGTGTATGGTCTTCTAGATGGAAGAGATTGGATCTACATTATTTAAACAATAGTGCGATAGAAGTGTTTTAAATGTGACAATATTAACAAACTCTATATTATATTATAAATTAAGGCTTGTTTTTGCCGACAGAAGTTATGGCTATAGTGTTGGGAAAGTATTAAAATTAATGATTATGATGTGATTACATGGAAAAGTTGTATGAGTAATATACCATTATTTTTCTCAATGTTAGGCGCTATTTTTACTGGTACTCGTATTATGTTGTAAATGGTATGAGTATTATTATGTGAAATATAAAATACCTAAATTTAAAAAAAAAAAACATTAGTTTTATGTATGTAGAATGTATTATTATTATGTAAATTTAAATAAAAGTCTTATATTTTTACTCTTTCTTTGATTATAAAACCACAGTATCCTGTTTTTTCCTCTTCCTGCATTCATACGCGATACATACATGATTCACACGTGATTCATACGTGATTCATATTTGATTAATACATACAAGAATGTATGAGAATAACCGCAATATTCGTTCTAAAACTTAAATATTATAACTAATCAGATTCACTATTCTTATCAGTTTTTTTTGTTTCACGCTACATAAACCTTAACTTGAGAGATCCCTAGTCAGTTGCCTGAAGTCAAACTTAATGTTAACTAATAACAACTGATAACCTCGAAAAAAATTATTTAAAAAATGCATTCCGTTACTTCTGTTGTTAATGAAATTAAATCAGCGTTTTTCAAGACTAATAGTACTGAAACTGATAAAGAAATTGTGGTTTCCGGTATTCGGAAATGTAATCAGACTCTTACAATTTTTGGAGAATTAATGAAAAAAGCTGACGGAATTGGCCAAAAACAAAAATTAACTATAGCTATCGGACAAGTAAGTTAAATAAGAAGTTATTAATTAAAAAAATATGTTAATAACTTTACTTGACAGGTTAAGAGCTTCAAGCAAATGTTTGAAGCCTTAAATATTGTGGGGTTTGGGTATGAGTTCCGAAAAGAAACCCCACGTGATCGAGTTCGATGGGCTGACGTTGAATCAGCGTTTAAGGGACGTATTTGTACGGGCGTTATTACAAACCCATTAAATTTTTGGATGATGCCTCTTCAATATTTAACCGAAAAATTTCCAATTATTTAAAAAAGGAAGAGGCGATCAAAGTAAACGTTGTCTTTTGTGGTGAATTTATTAAACAGATGGCGGATCGAGAAGTTTGTGAATTTAAGTATTTTAATACCAAAAATTCACCGATTTACCGAGACACCAAGATCCGTCAGTGGTTTGAAAAAAACGTTCAAGGTCCAATTTTAAAGGACTTAGAAGATTTTCAAGAAAAAGAAAGCGGTTGGGCTTTATCTAAAATTATTAATCTCCAGGTAAGTAATTAGTTTCTATGTTTTAATATTTTTATTATTATTTTGTTATTTTTAAAATTTTAATGCAATTTTTTTTATGTTTTAGGTCAACATCAATAAATTTGTGCCGATGTTAGCTTCATCATACGTTGAATTACCACCACAAATTCAAAAAAAGCATGCATGCATAAATGTAAAAAACACTGATAACAAGTAAGTTAAATTTTGAATATTTTTAAATATTATAATTTTAAAATAATTTTTAGATGTTTTGCTTGGGCTGTAGTATCGGCGTTGTATCCAGTACAAAAACATCCCCAAAGAATAACAAAATACCCGCTTCCTGAATGTGTGTTGAACCTAACAGGAATACAATTCCCCATGACAATGAAGCAGATCCCGCGATTTGAACATCAAAACAATACATCAATAAACGTATATATCCTCAAGATGTCCGGTAAAAAGTGTACTGTTGTGCCCACGTATCTTACAAAAACGAAACAGACACAACATGTAAACCTGCTTTTAATACAGGATATATATATGGATGATAATGACGAGGATATTTCTGATAGCAGCGATGGTAAGGATTGGCGACCGAAACACCACTATGTATGGATTAAAAATTTATCTCGATTATTATCTACACAATTAAGTGCCAAGCATTGTAAGAAATACTTTTGTGATAGATGCCTTCACTACTTCTATACAGAGGAAAAAAGATATAAGCATTACGAGGACTGCAAAACGCTGAATAATTGTAAAATTCGGCTTCCTACTGAAGGTTGTAAATTCATCCAATTTAAAAATTTTAAGAACAAAGTCAAGACGCCTTTTGTTATCTATGCCGACTTAGAATGTTTGCTGGTCCCGTGTAAAGATAAGAATAAATATCAGAAACATCAACTATGCAGTGTTGGATATTAKGTAAAATGCTCATATGATGACTCATTATCATATTATCGCAGTTATCGCAATCAAAATTGTATTGAGTGGTTTACAAAAGAATTGAAAAAATTCGCTGAAGATTTGGAAYCAGTTTTTTMATGCCCACTTCCTATGACTAAACTAACACCGGATYAGGAAATAAATTATGACAATGCAATTATTTGWCACATTTGCGAGAAAGAATTTACACATGAAGATAGAAAAGTCAGAGATCATGATCACCTTACTGGTAAATATCGTGGACCAGCGCATGAGGGATGTAACATCAATTTTAAAGATAGTCATACTGTACCCGTTATCTTTCACAACCTTTCTGGATATGACTCACATTTTATAATCAAAAATTTGGCTTTGGACATAGAGGGTAGAATTGACGTTTTACCTATTAATAAAGAAAAATATATTTCATTCACTAAACATATGAATGAAAATTTAATTAAATTTCGATTCATTGATTCTTATCGTTTTATGGCTTCCGGACTTGATACGCTAGCCTCATCTTTAAATGGATACCCTGAATTAACATCACAATTTCCCGAATTAGATGAGAAAATATTAAAACTTTTAACACGAAAAGGAGTTTATCCATATGACTACTTTGATTCTCTAGAGAAATTTAAAGAATCTCAGCTGCCGCCTAAATCTAAATTTTATAATCTGTTGAACGATCAAGATATCAGTGATGAAGATTATTTACATGCGCAACAAGTATGGAATAAATTTGATTGCCAAAATTTGGGTGATTATTCAGACTTGTATCTCAAGACAGATGTTTTACTTTTGGCCGATATATTTGAACAATTTCGTACTTCTTGTCTACATTCGCATGGACTAGATGCAGCCAATTACTATACATTACCGGGGTATACATGGGATTGCATGCTTAAACATACAAATATCACGCTGGAATTATTAACGGATGTAGATATGATAATGTTTATTGAGAGAGGAATCAGAGGCGGACTTAGCCAGTGTTCATTAAGATACACCAAAGCAAATAACAAATACATGCTTAATTATGATCCATGTAAGCCCAATATATATCTGATTTATAATGATATCAATAATCAGTGTGGCTGGGCGATGTCGCAATATTTATTTGGWGGATTTAGATGGTTATCTGTTATAGAAGTTCAAAATTTTAATGTTATGGAAATATCTGATACAGCCGACAAAGGGTATATACTAGAAGTAGACTTGGAATATCCGAAGGAATTGCATGACTTTCATGATAATGATATACCGTTTTGCCCTGAACATATATCACCTCCTAACTCAAAAGAAAAAAAAAATTAATAGCTACTTTATTTGATAAGAAACGGTACATTATTCATTACCGCAATTTGAAACAAGCTTTGATGCATGGACTTAAATTAACACAAATTCACAGAATCTTGCAATTTCAACAAGCCGACTGGCTTAAAAGCTACATTGATATGAATACCTTGCTAAGAACCACTGCTAAAACAGAGTTTGAAAAGAGTCTTTTCAAACTTATGAATAACGCTGTTTTTGGAAAGACTATGGAGAATATTAGAAAACATAGCATTGTTAAATTAGTTTCAAAATGGGAGGGTCGATATGGAGCCGAAGCCTTAATATCAAAACCAGAATTTAAAAATTCATCTATTTTTGATGAGCATCTAGTAGCAATCGAGCTTAACAAGACGGAAATTTTCTTTAATAAACCGATCTATGTTGGTATGTCGATTTTGGACATTTCCAAAACTAAAATTTATGAATTTCATTATGATTATATGAAACCTCTATTTGGAAATAAGTGTCGTGGAGCCTATACGGATACAGATTCTATTATTTATGAAATAGAATGTTCTAATATATATGACATCATTCGTCGAGATTGTCATGAAAAATTTGATACTAGTGATTATGCTCTAAATAACCAATTTGGGATTCCACAGGTAAATAAGAAAGTTCTTGGGCTAATGAAAGATGAAATGAATGGACGAATAATAACCGAATTTATCGGTTTAAGATCAAAAATGTATGCTATCAGAGTAGATGGTAAAGATAGCACTAAAAAGGCGAAGGGGGTTAAAAAGAACATTGTTCAACGACACATAACATTTAATGATTATGTTGAATGCTTAACTAGTTCTGCAAGTAAATCCGTTGATCAAAAATTGATTAAAAGTGAAAAACACGAGGTTTCAAGTGTAATTCATACTAAAATCGGATTGAGCCCTGACGATGACAAAAGA